ATCAAGGCTGAAAATCCTTTTTTTTATTATATCTTGTGGAAGTGCAGATCCCCTGTCCTCCACCAGGGGGTGCTGCAGCACCCTCAGCACCCCTACTTCCCACGGCCCTGTGTGTGTGTGTGTGTGTGTGTGTGTGTGTGTGTGTGTGTGTGTGTGTGTGTGTGTGTGTGCGTGCGTGTGTGTGTGTGTGTGTGTGTGTGTAGATGTGTGTGTGGTTAAAAAAGTTAAAACACATCAGCCACACCGCTCTTTAGCCTTTCTGATGATTCTGAAGGTAAACACAGTGAAGGCGGGGCTTGAAAGGCGGTGCGTGAAAGGCACTGCGCGCTTGTCTTCTCAGAGGCTGAGTTAACCCTCCCGCTGCCTCCTGGTGCTGCAGAGATTTCATGAAGTGAAGGAGGTCCTGCCAATACTGGCAGGACAGAAGACGACACGCCCGTTCTAAGCCTTGTCCCTCACTCCTCACACCCCAAGCTGCATCCCCAAAAAGTTTATTATGTTGTTACATCGTTTCAGATGTTATGTTTCAGTTGTGCTCTTGATAAGCCATTAAAACAGTAAAAAGACGTTTCCTTTTGCTTTTTGTGTCTCCTGTAGGCCTACACCAAAACATACCCATCTGTGATGGAAAAAGAAAGTAATCCAAAAGTAATTTGATTACGTTACTTTTTTAAGACACGTAACTGTAACTGTATTCGGATTACTTTCAGATCCATGTATTCAGTAATCAGTAACTGATTACATTTACAAAGTAACCCTCCCAACCCTGGGCATAGTATACAAGTGTTTCCAAATCTACCAGTAGAACATTATAAAAATGTACTTCATCTAGTAATAATGGTATAAGTAATAAGTGACTAGTAATATTCCTTGCAAAAAATATCAGAAGTGCTGCCATTTCATTTTATTGATTTGAAAAAAATGAATTTGAGCTCCAGGCCTAATTTCCTTCAAGAGTATGTTTTTTTGCATTTTGATTTTGTTAAGGGTGACAGGTTCTGGAAACTGAAAAGAGTAAAAAGTAATAGACATGTATGATGTCGGGCAGCAGCCACTCACCCCTCTTGGTCTGTCCGATGTTGTGATGAGCACTTTTGGGTTTGTCAACCCGTTGAAATAGGCAGAAAATTCATCAGTTCCCTCGTCAAATGCAATCTGCATGACAGGAAAACAAACAAATAAATGCATATTCAGTAACAATTTAACCTGAGATAGTTAGAATAGGCTCAGCCAAACTCGCTCCTCACCTCTTCATCTTCTGGGTCGACTGTTGTCTCGTCGTAAACCCTCTGGTTTTCTATCGTCTTTGGGACTTCTTTAGGTGGTGCCTTCATGAGGGACAGAATAAAAGATACAATTAGTGCTATTCATGCTCTCACTTTGCTGAATGGTATGATTTAGAGGTAACATAACAAACGTTTGTAATTCATTAAGTAATTGAACAAAATAGAGAGGGTAAACAAACTCACCTTGTCACCTAAAGCTTCCCTTTCTTTTTTCTTCTTTTTCTTCACTTGCAACTTAAGCTGAAATATGAAGAAATAAGATATTAACACTGAAAAAAAAGTACATTAGATTTTCAGTTTAATTATATAAAGCAGACATAAGAAAGAAACGAACACATGAGAGATTGAAAAGAGCATTTTATACAATTGTTTTATGACATTTGTTGACAATATGTTATTTTTCTGTTAATAGAATAATCATACAAGTAAAGTAAAAGTGTAAGATGTGCACAGTATAAACACATATTAACTGACTCACTTTAAGACATGAATGAGGGGAGTCATACGATTAAAAATACCGAAAAAAAAGTTAAATCAACACCACTAAAAGAAGAGGTTTTACCCAGACCTGAACCTTCAGTAATGTAGTAGGCTACTAACAGCAGGGCGTTGTATCAGAATGCATTCGTTCAAACTAGGTAATACCCAATAAAATGGCAGCTATGTGTGATTTACTTGCTCAATGACAACTTAACTGTGTGTTTACCTTGCTTTTCTCCAGCTTGAATTTCATGAACATGTGGTGTCTTCGCTGTTTATTCTTGATTTCGGACACACTGAAGGTGGGGGGGAAGGCAGTCTCGCTCGCCTCCAGCTTCGGCTCCAGCTTCGGCTCCACTGCATTTCGCTCCTTAGTCACACTCTTGTTCTTTGGCTTCTTATACTCATTTTTCTTACCTTTATTGTCATTACTCACGGAAACCTCTGTAATGTCCATCTTGTGTCAGATGTTATGGCTGAGTGTTTCACGTGTGTGGGGCTAGTTTCCTGTTCCTGGCTCACGACTGGGGACCGGAAGTGACTGAGTGGTTGAAAAAGAAATTGCGAGGACACCTAGTGGTGAGGAGGAGTAAGAACAACTCAAAATAATAAATGGATAGAAAAGGTGCACTGGTGTAAAGTAAGTAACTAAGTACATTACTTACTTTTCTTAAGTACAATTTTGACAGACCTTTGTTGCTACTTTGTACTTCCACCCCACTACAATTCAGAGGTAAATCATGTACTTTTACTCCACTACCTTTATTTAATATATTTAGTTTCTTTGCAGATGTTGTTTGATGATGTGAAATATAAACTACACTTAAATAAGAAATTCATTACACCTGCATTAACATTCACAAGCTACCCTGCAGTACAAAAGGTGATTAAAATAAGCTGCACCTTTACCAGCTTTCATAAACACATTAATGCAATAATTATAATTATAACATACCATATATATTATTCTGAAAAGGATAGATTTGCACAATGAGTAGGCCTACTTTTAAGTACATTTTGATGCTAATACTTTTTACTTTGACATGAGCAACATTTTTGAATTCCTACTCTCCGTTACCTCTAGTTTAACTAACTGTATGTACACGACTTCTCCCACCCCTGAATAGGTGTACATTCATCTGCCGAAGGGATGATTTATCTGCGCTAACTTTAAATGGTTGATTTTAGTTTTTCTCTTCCCGCGCTGCTGGTACCTGCACATTTAAATGTATATATATTTAAGCTAGTTCACATAATCTGTATAAATAATTCACCTGATCAGAGATTAATTTATGTTGTTTTTTTTATCTCTATTAATACTGTTACTACATGATTACTCTTATTTTATTTTATTCATATTATACCCGTCTATATTCTCATGTGGACTATCTGTGTTTCTCTCTTATTCTGTTGCTGCTAGAACACCTAGATTTCCCTACATTATAAATCCACACAGCGATTATTAATATGAAACGTTGAATAACTTTGGATATACTACATGTACACATTCATGAATCTTCTTATCTTATTTCAATAAAAACAACTGCAGCAACATGTACTGTAGTTAGAAATGTAATATTGATTTATTCATTAATTTCATCAAAATATATTGTATCGTATTTGCATGGAAATTATTTCTTAGGACATGATTTTTTTTTTAAAGTAAAAACTTTGTATTTTTCATTGATTAAAATACAAAATACAGAATAACATTTTTTTCATGGATAAACATTCACCAAAACCTTGATTTGTACCTTCTAAAATTAGTCTTGTAATGTTATGCTACTTAATACTTTAACTACATTTTAGCAGCCAATATTGTACTTTATACTTTACTACATCCTTTGGGCCCTTTAGTTGGTTACTTTATAGATTCAGAATATTAGATACAACAAAATATAAATCAACTAACAATAAAAGATTAATATTTTTGAAGATAATAAAACATGAATAACACAGGTATATGAATAAAGTTACAGTGCAGTGTAAGATGTGAGTAGTTCAATTAAAAGCAGCGGCAAAAAGAAAAGTCTTAAGCCTGGATTTAAAAGTAGTGAGAGTTGCAGCGGACCGGCAGGTTTCTGGTAGTTTGTTCCAGATATTTGGCAATATCCCTAACCAAATTCTCACATTCCTCTACCCCGAGAACACCTGTTTTAAGACTTCCCTCGTGAATCTTTGGCCTTTAACCACTTTTCTTTACTTTTAACTTTTGTTATTTTAACTATATGTTAATGTGAATAATTGTTCTACTTTTACTTAAATAAGATTTCGAATGCGGGACTTTTATTTGTACCAGAGTATTTTTACAATTTAGTGTTGCAACTTTTACTTGAGTACAAGATCTGAATACTTCTTCCACCACTGGTGATAACATTCTTGTTTCTTAGTTCTTGGTATTGCAGATATATTTCCATAAAGTGGTGTGCGTTTAAAGATCAGAACGTGGAGTAACAGATGGACATGGTTCCTTATCGTCGATAGTGGCATTGAAAGCTTTTGCAACTGCAATGTTTTGAAAGCATATTGCTCCTCCACCTCTATTCTTCTGACTCTCATGCCTGTTCAAATCAGAAATGCAGGTCCATCCAGTATTAGGAGCCACACACCACTTGGAGTGATCTTTAGTATCATAGTAGACCGTTCCGTTGAGTTTAACCCTCTTTACATTGTACACATGATGCGGGATGCGTGTGCTGCAGTTAGACGGCAGCTGATTTGAGCTAGACTTTCCCCAGCCTTTCACGTACAGACTCTCCGGCATACACTTCACAATAAGGCCAGAATAAAGATCTACAAAATAATTGAAACAAAACAAAATACAATTCTGTTATCAATTAATATTAAGAAATGTAAGAATGGCTCATGTGGTAAACACTTTTTGAACAAAAGTGTGTTATTACTGACTCCTAATTCACTTCTTTTAAACATTCACTTACTATCATAATGCTGCTACTTTTATTCACCATATAAAAGTAATGTTTACTGATTTCATCTGATAATATCAACAAGTGCTTCCCTATTTTTTTTTATGTTAGTCTTCTCATTTTATTTTAACATTCTTAAAAATCTTATCCTGAACACATTCAGACATGCATGACAAAACTAATCTGCAAACAAAATAAAAAAGCATTGACTCTAGCGAATGTAATGATCAACAGGCAAACAGTATTTCATTGTAAAGAGAAAAACAAATGTTTTCCTTATTTTGCTCTGATAAAAAAACCTTTTAGGTTCATCATCAACTTAACTTGACATTTTAACACTTGAATCCTGATTGAGTGCAAACTCTTACCATCATGAAAACGTGTGTATTTTGCAAAGCTGACGAAATGTTTTCCTCCCAATGACGTCAGATTTTGCACACGAAAAAAGTGATCTTTTCTAGGGAAACCAGTCTTCAGATCTTGCAGCGCCCAGTGAAAGGTTTTTGGGATGAAATGGTCATATGCATTGGGATGAATGTACTTGAGCTGCAATCCTACAAATTCAAATTAGTAAAATGTTTAGCACATGTATTCCTTAAAATATGTTTTATAACAATTCAGAAATGTAACAGTATCCCACCTATTTTTTTAAATCTACCATAGGAGTAAGTCACACACAAAAATGTCTGACCATTAACGTTTCCACTTTTTGGCCAGAAGCTTTTACTTTGATATGTTGGAAATTTTGGTGTAGAGTGTGAGAGCCAGACTCCTGTTTCTCTGTCCAACATCACAACACCTTAAGGAAGTAAAACAGAGGAGCAAAAACAGAACTTTGTCACATTATAATATTTTTCTGTATCTTGAACCACAATGAAGTGGAAGATTGTTGCACTCACCTTTACTGTGTCCATATGATGAAGAAGGTTTAGCTGTTTTTTCTGGTTGATCATTATATAAAATGTATCCAAAACCTTCAGTCTACAACAAAAATATATGAGACTGCATCAGTTTGCAAATTAAACACTACTGTGAAAAAGAGACGCACGTCTGCATATACTGAACCTTTCTGACGTAGTAGTCCAAAAGAGGTTTCAGGGTGTTTCCCAGAGTGCCAGATGAACTGTCAATGGTATTATTGCTGAGTTTCCATCCATTGGTGCTCTCATCCATGTACAGATAGGACAAACCGTTACCAAACTTGTACAGAATATACCTAATCATGCAGAGAAAATATATTCTATTACATTCTCGGCAGAAACAGAAAAATGTTGGATACTCTAAATTGCCACAACTCAAAAAGGTCCACCAACCAGTCCACCTCGTTTCCTTTATCATTTCTGCATGTCACACGTGACTCTGACAGTTGAAAAACAATCCCAACAGTCAATAGCAACGCCATCATTGTTCTCTGAAACATTCAGACATATTTATGAGACCTGTTTTCTCAGATTAAAGTCACAGATAATTACCAAACGCTGGGCCTTAACATTTTGACAAATACTGGTTTATTCACACAAATGTTATTTAGCTTAATTTTGAATATAAGCATAAATATCCAGAGCTTTCAACCTTGTTCAAATTCATGTAGCGACCAAAAGCGTATGAAACAATTCCATATGCTGAACAAGTGTGACTTTAAATGTAACCTTGAATTAAGATTTCTTTGGTCAAACTACTGTTCTTTTAAGGTAAAACTTTCACATGACACATCTCTGAGCATGAAAGTCAGGGAGTCAGTAGGTGAATGCAACCTCAAAGCTTTGTTTTAGATATTTCAGTCCCTGGAGTTCTGAATACTATTCTTCAAAGTGCAGTTCTGAGGATGGTGGTGGAAATGTGTAGTACATACAAATTAATAATTTATTTAAAATGTGCTATTTATATACAGGTTGCAACTACAGCAACACCATTGTGGGTGACAATATATAGTAGTATAATTCATTTCAAGGTTCTTCCAACAATTTCAAATGTGGTTTTTGAGTAATGTTGCAAGCTTTAAGAGTTCTGTAAGAGTTTTGTTTTTTAACTATTCATTCATATTCATATTCATTTTCTGATACTTTACACTTCTGTCAGTATGCTAATATACAAAATATCATCCTATGTCTACTTTTATTAATTTAGAATCATTGTTTAACAAATTAAAATTTTACTTACATATCCAGCCATCGTCAGCTCTCTTCTGTCTGTGCATCTGTTAATCAAAGCTGTTATTATTATGAATTTACACCCACACCTCTAATTCGTCACCTCCTACTTGTTCCTTATCCGGACACTTCATTCGAGATGATTCAATGATTAGTTGCCACGTTACACATTTTTTTATCCACCTGTTTTGATAGAAGTTCTACGCATATCCACATATAACATATTTTGAAGATTCAAGACACAGTTCTGGGTATTTCCTTGAAAGAATATTCATTATGGAAATAATATAACATGGATGTTGAATTTGAAAGTGGAATTTAGAAGGAACTAAACGCACAAACATGTACACAAAAACAAGCGTTTGTTCACTTTGCCTCTCCCAGATAAACCTGTTTTGTTCATAGTGTATACGAGCATTGTATCCTAGAGGAGGAAAAACAGCAACATTATATTAGATTTTTTATATGTTTGATGATAACACACTTTGTTGTTTCGATGGTACTGCCTGCCTTTTAAGGCCATTGGCTGATTTAGTTTGACATACAAATGTGTGACTTTAAATCCCCCATTGATGTACATTTCCCCTCTGTGGGACATTAAAGGTATTCTGATTCCGATCAGTTACACAAGATACAATACCTTCAGGGACTAGAGTTTTATGAGAATCACATGGAGTGTGAAAGTGTCTGAGACTGTGAAGGAGAACCAAATACCGAACTGAACCATCCTTAATATGAACACATACTTGCTGTGTTTGAATTGAAAGTGTTTTTCATGTCAGCGATATTAACTGAACACTTGCCCTAAAGCACAGTATGACTAGGGGTTGAGAAATATCCATCAGGAAAACCAAGTAGCAAATGTACAGAAAATCCAAAACTGAGAAGCGGCTGGGATTAAAATTATGATTTCATATTGCTACCAGTGTAATATTAAAATTGTGATTTCATATTGCTACCAGTGTAATATTTTCTACAATCAGGAAAGGTGTAAAAATAAAAAAGGGCAGTATTTTTCTTTGTGATAAGAATGTGACACGTTTTCAGAAAACCCTGGAAATAAATGGACCGGTATTAAAAACATGAAATATTTTTAACCCAGTGACAAAATGTCTTTGTCCTACTACACATAATGATTCTACCAGTCCACAAGGTGACACTGTTTACCCAAAACTATTGATATTTGGAAGTTATTCACTAAGTGCCTCTTCCTGACAGCTACCCACAGTGATGGCAAAAGCAGTATTGTTCACCTTCACCATATGGGTAAAATAAAACTAATAATTGTTTTTATTCTTTTTTTTCCAAGAATCCACCCACTTACACTTTATTCTGATACACATACAACTACAGTTTGATTTGCAACTGACGACTGTGCAAGTCCACTGCAGAAGTGTGGGGGTTGAGGGTCTTACTTAAGATAGAGCCAGGGGCGGACTGGGAGGAAAATGTGGCCTGGGGATTAATTGACAGACAGGCCCACTTAATGCGCGGCATGTATCGGCCGGCCGGCGACGAAAGTATGTTTCTTAACAAAAAACCCTATGCATTTAATGTAATTTCGGACCATTATTCATATAGTAATCACATTAACTGAGCCCTTGAGTTGCCTAGAGCAAAATAGCATATATTTAGTGATTTTAATGTTAACAGATCATTGATGCAATAACATTTGGACCAAATTTGCCTGACTTGACACATGGAATAAAACATGGGTGTGGGAAGCATCCTCAATGTGGGTGAGACAATTTAACAGGGTGTAGGCAGGTGGTGGACCTCACCTCCTCTAGGGGGGTCCGGGGGCATGCTCCCCCAGGAAGATTTTGTTTTAAATGTTGAAGTTAAATGCATCAATCTGGTGCACACACTCCAGGGAGTGGCCGGAACACTGACAAATGTGGGCCGGTAGGATTTAGGCAGCACCGGCCCACCTGGAAAACTTCCGGTATTCCCAATGGCCAATCCGCCCCTGGTATTCTAACTTGAACCTAAGACACTTGTAGCCTGTCTCTGCATCAACATAGACACCTGTCAACCTGCACTCTGCTGTTCCTCAGCGCCACTCCCCCTCCCTACCGCTGAAATTATGAATGAAAAGCGTATAGTAATCATACACTAGATAACCCGGCAGGGTCCGTGACAGTTTGTTTTTATCTGATTTCAAATAAACCAAAGTCTTGGTTTTTAGAATATTTTAATACTTGTTTCGCCAAGTTCAGAATGATAAATACATTACATTACATTCCATTTACTGACACTTTATCCAAAGCGACTTACAATAACTACATTCGCCAGGAAGCAATACAACCTTGAAGAACAGAATCATATAAGTACATCAGGTTTCATTCAGCCAAAGTGACACGAAGGACTCAAAAAAATACCCTTTTTTAATATACAAAAGGTTTTAGGATCAACTAGGACACTCAAAAGTTTGCTAGGTTCAACTAATAGGGTCCACAAAAGACCTTTACAAAGAAAAAAGTTTCTAGGATCTACTAGGATACTCAAATTGTTCTCTAGGTTCGAAGGTAATGCTCAAAGGTTTACACAAGGGAGTACAGACATGGACTTGGTATAGAGACAAGACGAACCGACAAAAGGACAAAAGGAGATCAGGGATACATATAATATACACACAACGGTTAATGGGGCACAGTGAAAACAATCATGAGCCGGAGACCACAATCAAAGCTGGCAGGTCTGACACCACAATGACATGAATGTAGACACCTAAAAAGAGAGGGACAAAGAGTCAACATCAAAATAAAATGCATGCCACAAGATAAATACAAACAATAAACTAACAGAACTCTAACGCCTGAAACCTTATAGCAAAGATTTCAAGTGGGCTACTCCAACTGTCCTATACAGGATAGGCAAACCCACGTGTTTTTGCTGATGGGAACTTGTTCCCCCGCAGCGAGGTGCAGGCGAGTCGTTTGCTGATGCAGGCGAAGTGCCGCACTGGGGTGTCAGCAGTTTAAGCGCATGCCTGAAATGTAGGAAGGCGGCAGTTTCCATTCGCAGCATGGTATGCAAGTACCATGTTTTGAAAGTGTAGTTCTAGCCAGTTACTGGAAAGGCCAGTGAAGTGAGCGGAGGAGCGGAGTGGTTGGGAACCATTTTGGAAGTTGACAGACCAGAACGAGGCCGCTGCAGTTCTGGATGAGCTGCAGAGGTTCGGATGGCACAATGCAGGTAGACCAGCCAAGGAGGGAGTTGCAGTATTGCTGGGCCGTGAGATGACGAGAGGGCCTGGACCGGCCAGAACCTTGCGTTGCTTTCCTGGGACACGCTGGGGACGTATCCTCCTGATGTTTAAAAGCGTGTATCTGGCAGCAGCCCCCAGTTGGTTGCAGCGGATGTTTGCAGTGAAGGACAGTTTGTTATCTAGGATCAGGCCACCAAAAAGATTCCTTGCAGTCTGAGTCGGGGAAAGCAACAGAGGTGCCGATGTTTGATTGTTAGGTCCAAGAGTGGGGACNTTGAACAGCAAGTGGAGGCAAAAGTGACTGCACCAAAAAACAATAAACCTGCTAGCTAACTAGCCTAAACTCAGTAACAGAATGTGGGCAACACGTTCTTCTCCACAGCCGCGCGACCTCTGAGTCAGACGTCACTTCCCCCTTTTCTATCCTACGGGTACAGCCACTCCCCCTGAACCCCGTTTCCGTGCCAACCCCCCCTCCCCTATGCAAGCCCCTCCCTCTGAACCCAGGGCTCGCTTGTATACACAAACTATACAAAAACGCATTTACGCTTTGGAGCTTGTTTATCCATCTGTAAGCAACTGCCAGCTAGGTCTCTCAGTCACTCACTCCTGATCGTTCACTGCGCAGTTACAGCTGCTACGGGCCTGATGTGTGAAAGTGAAACTATCTGATAGATAGAACAAAGGTAGGCTATCAAAACAGCCCAGCCCAGCCCAGTGGGGTGTGGCCGGAACACTTATAAATGTGGGCCGGTAGGATTTAGGTAAGCAAAAAAAAACAAAAAAGGGAGTGGCCGGAACACTGACAAATGTGGGCCAGAAGGATTTAGGCAAAGACGCACAGCACCGGCCGACCGGGAAAACTCCCGGTATTCCCAATGGCCAGTCCGCCCCTGGATAGAGCATGAGGTGGGAATAAGGGAGATGCATTATTCAAAGGGATGCTCCTTCACTTTACGCACCGAGACTTGACCCATTTCCTAATCTTTGTCCCTTTTCTTTAAAGCTTGCCATTTTTAGAAACATCAGTAATTAATTTAGATTGTAAAGGAAAACACATAAAAGCACTTTCTTTATTGCATCTTGAGTCATTTAACATAGTCACACGATAAGCCCTCATTGTCAGGGAATTAACCAAGACTTGACCTGTTGCTATCATTCTCAAAACCACATTCAGGTAAAGACTACATCTAATTGGTGTTAGAATACAGAAACACAAGTCAAACAAGTTAATGGGTATTCTGAAATTGATTAGGAATTGGATAACTGCATTTTCTGTTGCTTGCATGTCAGTCGTTTTAACAGTAACACGATTAAACCCATGCGTTGTCAGAATAATCTAGTCCTAATCATCCTATCTTTCTCTCTCAATCAACAGCCCAAGTACCAGTCCACCACCTGTCTGAAGGCCTTGTAAATGAGGGGGTTGAAAGTGCAGACTAGCCCCCCACCACGCCAAAGCTGAGTCTTCTCCCTGTTCAGATCCCCCAGGCAGGTCACCTGGTCTTCATAGGCCTGTGACACGCACCACTTTGAGTGGTCGTAGTGGGAATGGAACAGGACTGGCCCAGGAAGCTGAATCCTCTTGATGTTCATGACGTGTTTCGGCAGGGAGCAGTTGGAGGGCAGCTCGTGAACTGATCTCTGCCAGGACTCCACCAGCAGGTCGGCACCCAGAGCCTGAGCCACCCACCCCGTGTAGATGTCTAAAGGATTGCCAGTGAAGGGGTTAGTTCAGCTGCATTATGATAGAAAATGACATTAATTAAAAGGTGAGATTGTGTATTATTATGCCCTAGGATAGGTTAAATAGTTAAGGATGTATTTGATGTCACTTTATGGAGTAAATCTATTCAACTTTTGGATAAAAATGGAAACATTAAAGGTCCCATGTCATGGCCATTTCTACTGATCATAATTCCATTGTTGAGGTATACTAGAATAGATTTATATTGTGCAATTTTCCAAACTCACATTGGTTTCTCATACAGCATCTCTGTATAGTATGTGTATTTACACTGTCCTAAACGGCTTGTTGGAGCTCCTGCCCCCTCAGCCTCCCTGTGAGCCCACTGTGCTCTGATTGGTCAGCTCGCCCACTCTGTTCTGACGAGTCTACCACTGTTACAGCGGAACATCAGTGATTATGTGTTACAATAGCATTTTTTAGCAACCAGAAAATGACACCAGTAAGGACTAACAGATGAGAATGCTGCGTGGGGTCTGGGTGCCGTGTTGGCGGGACGTTGCGCGGCTCGCTGCTGCGAGGACCGGACAGTGTGAGCTGGGTTCATTTCCTGCTTGCTGCGTGGGATCTGTGAGACAGCGAGACATCGCGAATGGACGCGGGAAGGGGGGGTAATAACCGGAAAAGCATGACATGGGACCTTTAAGATAAGATGTGTGATTTTGCTGTGAGGGCGGATATTTATATTTTAAATGAGCTCTGTGAAATTCAACTGAAGAAAATATTACCCTTATGCCCGGGGCATGTAATGTTGACATATTATTTGAGGAAAAAAACAAGGCCTTTAAAAATCATCTGAAAGGATAAGTGACTGCTCAAAACTGTGCACACACTTTAAAATGTAAAGAGCGTCACATGCTGAAAACGTTGAGGGAGCCGAGAGAACTTTTGGAGGCCTAGGTGCGGTGTGCTCATTCGCTTCATGGGTCTGAGATCATAGTGTGTCTGCAACTGATAATGAGGGACTGCGGCAGACAAGCAAAATGTGCAAACAAAAGAGTAGCAGATAGAGGTTTTTTGTCAAATAAATGTTCCAGAAGACCACAAACTGCACTTTTGTTGAAATGAATGATGATGAGTGATATCTTACCATCAACAAAGTGTTCAGATTTGACAAAACTGACAAACTGTTCTCCTTTGATAGAGCTAAGATGCTCCACATTCCTATCCGAGGCCAGTCTGGGTTTGGAGCCCTCACATAACTGGGCCAACTGCGACAGGTCGGGGGTGAATGCAGCCGGCACAGAGCAGTTATAGAAACGTGGGTAAAGGTACACCATCTGCTTCGCTGGAGAAAGGAGAAAGGAAACAAATGAGAGATGCTGTGTGTTAAAACTAAAGAGTGCACTGTTGGATGGTTCTGTACTATATGGACATTATGTATTCAAAACAAAAGAAAATAAATCAGATTCTTGTATGTTTTATCTGATGGGGATTCAATTAAGAATTGTTCTGCTGATATACCACTACCAACTTTAATAAACACTGCTTATACCCAACAGTGTCTACACTTTCTGATAAATGGATGCATTTTAGTGAGAGTACAGCTACATACATGTCTTTCTTTCATTTGTGCTTTAATGTATTTACGTATTTGTTAAATGCTACATGTCCGGATTTTTCCTTACCAATCTTAAATGAAACCTCAGGGGTTGAACATTTAAGTGAGACTATTCTCAAAGGTGGATTTCCTTTAAAGTGCTGCTGGCTATTAAAATGTGTCTTATTAAAACTTATTGACTTATGTCCAAGAGAGACTAAATACGATACATGACAAAGGACAACACTGGAGACATTAATTGACAACATAACAGTTTATTTTTGTTTTACCATTTTAAAACGTATGCTATGACTACTAAAACTATAACAAAATATGAATAATTAAATTACATTGTTGAAAAATGTATTCCATATCCGTCATTAAATAATCAGCTATCTATGAATTGGCTTATTTCTTTCCTTTAACTATTTTAAGTTTAACTATTGGATTAACAATGTATCTTACTTCATATACTGTATTGGACAGCCAACTGGATAATGCATTTTTTTTTTCATTATCCAGGGATTTTTTAGAATAAAGTAGACCGCCAAAGATCATAGACAAATACTTTGGAGGTTCTGTTGGAGACACATCTAAGGCACTAGCGTAATGCCTGGTCACTGTGTAAATGTTTTCTTTTGTTGAGCAAATAGAGACTTTTGTAAGCTGAAGTCTGGGATGTGTGCAGAGCGGGAGTAAAGCCCTGTTACTTCATGAGCGTTCACTCACCTATACTGAGGAACTGGTCATAGCCGTAAGTCACGCAGAGAGCAGTCTGGCCGTTGACTTTTCCTGAGGAGGGGTAAAGGTAGCCTCTCTCAGGGAACGAGGGGAAATGGGGAATGCTGTGCGAAAGCCAAAAACCTTGAGAATGGTCAAAGAGCAGTACTCCTGCAAAATGCACACAAGTACAACATGTACACATACATGTAAGACATTTCCATCAAGGTCAATGTCAGTGCAGTCGATAACCCAGAGTCAACAGCAGTTATGAGACGGTTGCTCTTTGCCCGTTTCCTCCCCCTGACACCAAAAAACCTTATTTAACTTTTTTGTAAAATCTTAGCATTGCAAAGTTTTAAAGCAGCCTGTAAGTAAACCCATCATTAATTATAATAGACACAAAAAATCAAGGCAAGAAAAAACAAAGATGAATTATGGTAGTGCACTGTACCTTTAGTGTGTCCGTATCCTTTCATGTAATCCAGGATTGGCGGTCCATCATTGTAGAGTGCATACACTGAACTGTTGGACTGGGGAAATGCATACAGTATTTGTCAAGAAAAACACTTCTGAGTATTTCGTTTTTTTGTTATTTTCTGTAAACAGTATCTGTTTATTTCCTGAAGAAATTGTTTGACGTATGGGAAACATTATATGCTTTCTCAACTAAAGTTATAGAGGAACATTTCCAAATCTTCTGAAAATAAGGCATCAGTCAGCAGGAGCATGTCTATTTTTTTATCTTCAAACTAATTAATTACTCTTAGCCTCACATGGGAGAAGTTAGCCTTCAGGCCTTCTGGCAGAAAGCTTTCTGACCTTTTTCTAAACGTCACCAAGTACTTGTGTTGCCTAAACCTAAGGAGATTTCTGGCAGAAAGCCCTGAATTTAAAGAGGTAATGATCCACCACTGTCTGTCTGTTTTTTCTTTTGTCTCTCTAATTGTATGTAAGGGTATTGTTAGTTTCCAATATGTATTTTAACACAGACCAAGGAATAACAGTTTTTTTAGGAAACAGGGGGCTTATCTGAGCCAGCAAAGGATTAGCTTAGCATAGCATAAAGACAAGAGCTAACCAATTTCTGATAGTCTCTACTTGATGACAAGTCTTCAGGAAGTTACTGCTCCTGGCCTAGAAATAGTTTGGCACATAACCCCCTGCAAAAACAACCACATGTTATTTTTCTGTCATTTGTTTTTATGTTCGGGTTAAACAAAAGCTGCAACTTATCAATGAGTGAGGTTCAAGGGTCTTAATTTGTGGATTGTTTTACCTTTGAACAAAGCCATGTAGTTATGTTCAGTCTTTATTCGAAAGTCAACCGTTTGCTGCCAGGGGAATTACTCTCCTCGTCTACAGTAACTAATGGCATGAAAGTGAATTGGCATAATTTCTCAAATGTCCAAAAAACAATGCTTTATCAAAGCATTTTTCATAGTTTATAATCAGTTATTTAAAATGTGTCTAGATTACTTTCCTGATGCCATAATTGATCTTTGAAATCTATAATGTGCAATTACTTACAAAAAATAACCGACATGAGAAAGGACTGAGTAATTTACTTCATCTGTCTGGGGAAGCTTGTTTAATTACCGACTTCAGCTCGGTTCCCCGTAGGGAAAGAAAAAAACTACTCAGCATGCTCTACTTTCCTACACACAGGAATGAGTGAATATCCCACTTGGAGAACAGGGACATGATCTCACCTTGTAGGCCTGTCCTGTGTAAAGCTGCTTCAGTGTGTTTCCTATGGCTCCTTGACTGGTGTTCACCATGTATTTACTCATCTGCCAGCTCCCTACTGAGGAGTCCAGGTACATGTAGTCCACCCCACTGCCAACCTCACCAATCTTATACCTGGGCAGTTTGTAGATGATAAACCTGCAGTGGAAAAAGAGAGAAATATACTTTTTAAAATAGCAAACAATTTAACATACGTTGAACAGTCACACAATTGCAAACCATAGGCCTACAGTATAGTGGCGGCTGGTGGAAAATGTTTTTGGTGGGGCTATGGAAATGGTGACAAAACCATACTAGGGCGGTCCGGGGGATCATCCCCCGGAATAATTTTTTGAGAAATGACCCCTTAAATTATGACTTCTGGTGATGTTAGAGGGGAGGGGGGAGAACTGCAGAACACTGGTGCTTTGGGAAGACTCAAATGATTTAATTCCCATTTAGAATCAGGAGACTAAATACGAACTGTGTGTGTGTGTGTGTGTGTGTGTGTGTGTGTGCGTGCGTGTGTGTGTGTGTCATACTCGCCAACCCTCTCGATTTTCGCGGGAGACTCCCGCATTTCTCCCGATTTCTGACAAAATCAGATTTACTCACGAATGTTTCCACTCGGACTTTAATACAGGTACACCATTGTTTGGTTTCCATGGTAGCGCGTCTCTTTAGCAGCGCGCGCAACTCAAAGTCTGAGAGGGTGAGGAAGATGAAAACTGAACAAGAATCGACAACTCGACCCTCTGATCACTCCTTTCCTGTAAAATACAGGTCCAGCCCACACATATGCTCCATGGTGCCACAGGCATTGTCCTTACAACTACAATAAGCATGTAAATGTTAATCTACAGCTCCGGCGATCCACTCGCACCGGATTCTCCACCTGCAGACAACTACTGTAGCGTCACCTTGGATACGAGTCCAAACAACTCACAGACACACAGGCCAGGGCGCTGACAGGGCGCCCTTTGAGCATCAGATCTGACGACGCTGATTGGCTGAAATTATGTTTCGGCGGCATAGTTTACAGGTAGCAACAGTCAGCTTGTTGGCTGCAGCTGCTCTGGCTGAGGGCTCCTTTCTACCGCCCGGACGAGAGAGGGTAATGATACACGCTGCGGCCAGGCAGGAAACGTGACTTATCAGTAACTTTAGACATCGTAAAACAATTTTAAACGAGATTTTATTGTAGATTATACATTTTACTGATACCAACTATATAATATTTACCTTGTTCTTTAAAATTAAAATTAAAAATTAAAAATATATATTTTTTGGAAATATATTTATTTATTTATTTTTTATTTTTAATGACAATCAAACATGTGGGAAGAGGGGGGGCGGCGCCCCTAGCGCCCCTATGGGCCGGCCGCCACTGAGTATAACATATGTTTAGCGTTTGTACTCTTGACCGGCGGTTGTGACTTTGCTACTGTCTACCTAGCTTATTTTATATCTAGTCCGTTAATTAGTTGCCCTGAAATAAAAATTTAGGGTTAACCATCTGTCCGACATAAATGTGGTATATTCGGACTATATATTCCCTGTGGGATCACCAATTCGTAGCAACACTTAAGTAATAAACTAATAATCTATTAATTATCTAGGGATATTCTATATAAGTAATGAGCAATAAGAAGGATTATCAAATTAATTCTTGACATACTATCACTGCACTAAAACGTGTAGGGGAAAGTTCTGAATAGTTCTAAAAGATTCCAATAACTAACTGTATAGTATTAGTGTTTTTTCCACATCAGATACGTTACTTACTTTTTGTAACCAGCGTCCAAGATTGTCACCTGTCTGTAGATTAGTTATAAACCACGTATGAGGTCGTTACAATTTTATACTAACTACTCGTTAATAATAATTGACTTAATAGTAGTATAGTCATAAATATTGACGAATATTCTTACATACACTATAAAAGTAGAGGCTTCCGGAACAGTCTGCATAACTGTTGTTTTAGTTCATGGTTATTTCTTGTGTTCTTAATAATTTATCATTTTGTGTCTTAAACACCACTTAAGTATGATACCAAATGGTTTATTGTGCTGTTTGACGTATAAATCGGTTGAACTAAATGTGTACGACTACATTGAGTTTAAAAAGGGTTGTCAACCTAGTCATTTCAATAATAAATATAGAATTGTCATCAACTAGCTAACTCGATGTACGGTATTCATATCGTTTTATAATAACCGGGTGTCTATAGTTTAGCGTCAAAACTCAGCAGTCCGGCTCAGCCAAGTGTAGGGTAAAGTTACACGATTTAGCTTGGCGAGCCGCATTGGGAGTTCTCGTGTGAGAGGTTGGAGTGTCTCGAACTTACTGAGGCTAGTGGTTCCAAACTAGTTGCTTCGCCTCTCTTAACGATATGAGGCCGCACTATTATAATAGATTTCGTTGTGACTCGGACGGAGGCTGGTGTATGGCCGTAGTGACGTACCTGAGTTTGAACACAAATTAATCTAGTTTGTATATATTTACTTTGTGTGTGCCTATGTGTAATACTTACTATCAGATACCAACTCATTTTACGCTCTTAGACGCGTCCCCTTTTATTACATTAGATCTTCGTAGGATCGTGGTGGAACCCATTTTACTTTGCAACATACCTCTGAGAATCTGTTAATCAGGACTTCATTAAGAAAATTATAAGGATTCGTTTTGATCTAGTACATGTAAGAGTGACGTTGTGTATTAGACTTTATTGTTGCAGTATAAAGAGCGTAGTTTAGCTGTAGGTTTTGGCGTAAAAATTACCGGCTTGATTGTTAAAAAATAAAAAAAAAAAAAAACAAAAAAAAAGATTTTATCCGTAAAGGTGGCTCTTTATTCTGTTTCAAGCCGGTACAAACAGGAAAAGACGTCCCTCTTTAAACTGTCTAGTTGTCACTGTATACTGCCGGTAAGGTTACCTTACTTACCTTACGTCTAACCTCCAGTTGGTAGTGTCTCGAACTCTTGACTAGTTGCCCCGAACAGTTTGTCTCGTGCTACCATCAGGATTTGCTATCGACCCCTAAGACCCATCACATCACAGAAGGGACGTAGGAAATGAGCTTTTTTATAAACAAAGAGGCTAGCTTGCCCCTTTTATGTTTTTCATAACGTGTGTTAAATTTGGTTAGTCTACAACACATTAATTTCACGATAAGACACACAAAAAATCAGATACTCATGCACGTCTTATGAGAGACATTTTATTATTGTAATTCCCCTTATGCATGAAGGGCCCACATATCTAAGAGGCAATAGGTTACCCTTGACCGTGGACGTGTAACCGGAAATTCCCGTCAGCTGTGTTTGCTTACGGCACGAAGCTATCGCAGTTAGGGCGGCGTCTCTTACTATGTAACGTTAGTCAACTTTTCGATAAACGCAGGGAAATTCCCCCCCTACTTCGACTTCCTGGGATCTTCGCAGTGTTGACGTGCGGGCTGCCCTGGGATGTTCGCAGCTATGTCTAGACTAATATTCGTCGACGTCTCACTTAACATGATGTATGGGTCATGGACTTTCTTGCACGCGACTTCGAAAGTATATTACTTGCTTCACAACTGTAAAGAACGGTCAACAATTGTTACTTCTACCGTAAAGCTCTCCCAGGTTACTACAAATAGTGACCGGTCATCGTTTCGTATGTATCATTTGTCAGTTTGTAGACTCCGATAACTTCTATTCGTTTGTAGTCTTCTGTAAATTGTATAAATTGTCGATAGTAAGCTTATAAGACAATTAAAGTGAAACAATCGTACTAATAAAGTGTGTAGTTGTAGCAGTGATATGTTGACTTAGTGGAGCCATGTGTTTGTGTTCACTGTCGTCCCACTGTATCTACCAACTATTATCTAACTGACTCTAATGAATAGTTACTTGTTACTTGGTTAATATTTGTTTGTGTTAATAAGCTCGACACTAAAATTACGCTCTCCTTTATGTAACTGAATGTAGAATTGTTACGTTCTGTAACTCTAACTCATG